TTCATTGGACTGGGCTTGGAATTTGATTATAGGCTATTGGTTATTTCTGGGCTCATGTAACAGTTGTACAGGGAACAGGGAGGAAACAGGAAAGAAAAAATTTAGATAGATGTTTAAGAGAAAATGGTATTACATGATTTTAAAACAAACAAAAAAACCCGTTAAGTTGCATGAGACCGTGATGGATAATGTCCAACAGGGGCTGATTGTTAGAACTAGGAGGTCATCATCTTTCCAGAGCTAAACTGTTTTCTTCTGTGTGCATGGAGGTGCGGGGAGAGGGGGGTGAGTTTAGTGTACCTAGGATGTGGTAGTTAAACTAGGAGGAATTTTTTTAAGGTTTTGCCTGAACTAGGGAAAATTAACATTTTTACTGAAACATCTTTAATTTTTATTAAGGGCAGTTGTATTTTAGTGTGTGTTACCTGGCTGACATTTACTCTGCACAAGTTTTAAAGCATTTTATATTGAAAATGCATCGGCCTAAAGACTTATCCCAAAGCCCAGATTCTGTATGAATCACATAGTGCTATTTTGTTTTGCTCTGCCTATGGATACTCTTCCTTAACAACAGAAGGATTTTCCTGTAATTATCATTGAAATGGAACATTTTTTATTATAAAATAGATATCAACAAGGCTTTACATCAGAGTGATGGTCATGTGTGATATAAAACAGTTTGGGTTATTTCAGTGCAAGTGTCTACGTATACCAACTGCTATTTTTCAATTTTTGAAAAATAACCCTTTTAGAAGTTGTGTAGACAAGCCTTGACTGCTTGCCTGCAGAAAGAAAGATGATAAATTAATTTAAATATTAAACACCAGTTGAGGTGATTAATTTTTAATGAAGGCAATGAAGAACTGGTTTTGCTTGTGTTCCCTGGAACACCCTTTCAAAAGCTTTGCTTTTCCGGAGTTGTTTTTAACCTCTGTGTGTGGCACAGGATGTGACTTGGTTCACAGCAGGTAGGTTCATTAGTTGGCATTTCTAGTATAATATCCAGCTGTGGAAAGCTTATAAATATTGGTATTTAGGTCATCTTAATTAGGCCTTGAAATAAAGGTTTAAGATAAAGTGGAATAATTGCACATACTTCATTGCGGCTGAGCTTCTCCAGTGAAAAGAGTGTGCTATTCCCGGGCAGTATGAACTGATTTCAGCAAAGTTGCTGCAAATCCACCTCACCAGTGCTCCTGTCATTGTGCCGGGAGCTGAACCGATTAAAACTAATGATTCTGGGGAGAGGTGAAAGATGTGATGGTTTTCAGCTGGGTTGGATGCAGGACTGGATGTCCTCGCTCTCACTGATACTGATGCCAGCATAGGGAGGGGATTGGGCTGGGGCAGCCCCCGTTCATATCACTGCAGACTTCTGTGGGACTTGTGCACTTCTTCATTGCTGGTGATTTGGGGGAGGTTATCTGCCTTCTTCCTTCCTTCCTTCCTAGATTAATTTATCCAGAGTCGTGCTTATGTTCGCACTAGTTGAGAGGGAGCTCACGTATCGGTGCTCCTCTCCCAGCTTTGGGTGAGCAAAGAGCTTCCGCTGCTTCTTTGTGCAGGCTCACTTGCCATGTTAGGTCTCCAAAATACTGCAGTCACTACTGGTGAAAATCAATGTGAGCTCTTTTGTGCCAAGAGGGGTGGCAGCAGTTCCCATCCAGGTTAGCAAGCAAAAACCAAGAGGCAGCATCCCTGGTCCTAGGTTTAAGAAGTTGTGACTGGCAAGGGAAGCCAGAGGAATCTGAACAGTCAGCAGGCAACTGGATGACCAGCGTTTAAAGGTGCCCTGGAGCTGATGAAGTGCAGTTGCATGTGTTTCTGCCAACCGGTGCATCTGCCTTAATATCAGATGCGAGCGTAAGATCTTCAAACTCATCTCCACCAAGCCATTGGCAATGAAGTTGAGGATGGTGCGTAACTTTGGGCGAGGAGAGGCTTGGAGGAGGGTTGCGATGGCAGCTGGAATACGTGTCTGGTGTTGCACAAATGCCTTATGGCATCTAACAGGCACCATGGGGAAATACCGTGTGACTAGTTTAATAAATTTAATACAAAGAAGGTGGCACAATTGTACTGTTGTTTATCTCTCTTTGACTAACAACACTCCAATTATGCTTTTGGTGTTGTAACACCACAAGATGAGAGGACACCATCATTTAGGCATGTTATTAAGGTAATGACGTATAAAGAGGTATTAAAAAGCAACAGCTGTCATCTGCTACATCATTGGTGCTGGTAGTTGAAGCTTCCAACTTTTGTTTATGGACCAACATAAATGAAAATGGAGGGGGAGCTCCTCCTGATCTGAATTTCTCTCTATAAGAGCATCTCTGTGTCCCCTGTGGATGGAGCCAAGGGAGCACCTGTGGGTGCAGGAGACAGATATTTGGTCTCTTCTTCCTTATCTATGCCACCAAGTTCAGCACACTCTGAAATGGAGACTTTATTTTTCCTTCATGTTTTGAAGGTGTGTCCTATCTTGCACCAGATCTTCTAAAATTCTAGTTTAGACAATGCCTGAGGGGATTTAGGTTTTTGCATATTTTTCCTAAGAGGATTACGCTTCACACTTAGTTGCTCTATAAATCGTTCGAGGGGTTTTTTATGATCTTCTAAGTACATGAAAAGCCGCATACCCGTTCAAACTGTCCTGAAATGTGTTGTCTGGGGTCAGTGATAGAAATCTGGTGTTTGAACTAGTAGTAAACTGAATCCCTGAACCTCAGGGTTATTTCGAACTGAAAAACATTTTGGTAATCAGATTTGTAGCACGGCTGCAGGAACAGTTGTGGCAGCACAACTGGAGGGGCTAGCAAATTGCAAGAAGGATTAGAAACCACCTACACTGGCATCAGAGAAAACAATTTATCATGAAAACACAGCCCAGGAATAAATTAATGAGCACCCTTCCAAGCATAGGGGTGCTCATAATATGTTGAGATTCTGGAAACTCTTTACTTGCAGATCAAGGGAGTAAGGCAGCTCGGTAGGAAAGATATTAGGGTAATTGGGGGAAAAAATAGTGGTAGTCTCTGAGGACTTTTGTCATTTAAGTTCATACTCATAAAATCACTGGCACACCCCAGCAATTGCCCTCAGGAGCAATGGGTACTGACACTCATGGTGCTAGCCGGCTGCTGCGGCACAGCGCCTTGGCTCCACTGCCCGTCACAGCTGCCTGACACCCACCAACAGGGTCGTTTTGATGATCGCCAGCTTCATTTTTCATTATGTGCTTATGAGTGGGCTGTATCTTCTGTGTTTATTTTTTGTATTTACGGTGGTTTTTGGAGGAACGAGTGCAGCTCCTCGTTTTGTGCAGCAGCAGTGGCTGCAAAACCGGAGCCTGTACCGAGGCTTCTTCCCCGCCCACTAGAACAGTTGGAAAACTTGAAACGCTGGGATTTTCTTACGTCGTTTCACTGAAGGTGGAGGAGAGGTCTGACTGTGCCGTAGAAAACTGGTTTAAAATAGAATCATAGAATGGTTAGGGTTGGAAGGGACCTCAAAGATCATCTAGTTCCACCCCCCCTGCCATGGGCAGGGAAATCCTCCACTACACCAGGTTGCCCAAAGCCTCATCCAACCTGGCCTTGAACACTTCCAGGGATGGGACATCTCCAACTTCTCTGGGCAACCTGTTCCAGTACCTCACCACCCTCTGAGTGAAAAATTTCTTTCTTATATCTAGTCTAAATCTGCCCTCTTTCAATTTAAAGCCATTGGCCCTTGTCCTATCACTACACACCCCTGTAAAAAGTCCCTCTCCGGCTTTCCTGTAGGCCCCCTTTAAGTACTGGAAGGCTGCAATAAGATCATCCCGGAGGCTTCTCTTCTCCAGGCTGAACAGCCCCAACTCTCTCAGCCTGTCTTCATAGCAGAGGTGTTCCAGCCCTTGGATCATCTTCGTGGCCCTCCTCTGGACCCACTCCAGCAGCTCCATGTCCTTCTTGTGTTGGGGACTCCAGAGCTGAACACAGTATTCTAGGTGGGGTCTCACGAGAGCAGAGCAGAGGGGCAGAATCACCTCCCTCAACCTGCTGGCCACGCTCCTTTTGATACAGCCCAGGATATGGTTGGCTTTCTGGGCTGCCAGTGCACACTGCTGTCTCATGTTGAGCTTCTCATCCACCAGCACTCCCAAGTCCTTTTCCTCAGGGCTGCTCTCAATCCATTCTCCGCCCAGCCTGTACTTGTGCTTGGGATTGCCCCGACCCACGTGCAGGACCTTGCACTTGGCCTTGTTGAACTTCATGAGGTTCTCACAGGCCCACCTCTCAAGCCTGTTGAGGTCCCTCTGGATGGCATCGTTTCCCTCCAGCGTGTCCACAACACCACACAACTTGGTGTCATCTGCAAACTTGCTGAGGGTGCACTCGATAATAGGACGGAACTCATCTGTGCTTCTCAGAGGGGTGGTCAGGGCTCCCTTTTAAACTGAGGGTTTGTGTCCAGCACGGCTGGCTCCGTCATCTTTCATGTCTCTTCAGTCCCTCCTCAGAGGAGTGATGAGATGGACATCACTGAGAATGAGTGGCATGGATTTGGCAAAAAGGGCAAGGGGCAAAGAGAAGTGTTGTCTGTGGCAGTGTGAAGGACAGGTGGTCTCTGTAGATCCGTGTCTGCATTATTTTGTCAGAGAACTGTGCTTGTAGCATTGCAAGCTGTACCACAGCGAACGTGGGACTGGTGTTAGGTGGGTGTTAAATGCTTGAAGGAGGGAAAACCTGAAAGCACAAACTGAGGAGGAGGAGCTGTTGGGAACTTTCTACGTCTGTTTTGCTGTAGAAGCTTGTATGGAGTAAGTTTGCTTCTGGTTGGGATCAAATTGATTTAGTAAGGTAAGTAGAACGGGACAGAATTGGTTACTATCCAAAGGTTCGGCTGGGCTAGTGAATGGCGGTTTGCGAGCTTTACTAAATAACAGCTCTGAGGACTTTCTTATGGCCTCTAACCCACGGTGATCTTTTGTGTTCCGTTTTCTCTGCAGACGTCGGCTGATCTCCCAGCGATCTTCTCTGGAGACTCTGGAGGACATCGAGGAAAATGCCCCACTGCGGAGGTAATTTTATTTACTCTCTCTGGTTATTTGTCTGTAAGGCACATGCATGGACAGACTCCCTGTCCCTGAGCATGTTGGGAAGTAGCTGGGTGTTCACGTTAAGATGTTCTTCACAGTGGGTAAAGTGAAACCTCACGCACCCTGCAAGGTGGTAGGTGGCACGAATTACATGTTCCCTGGCTTTAGGTTATTAAATAAAAAGTCTGTATTTAAATAAGATGTGAGGAAATAAAAGGTCAGATTTGATTAATAGAGAAGTTTAGTTGTCACTAAAAGGAATGACTAGCCTCTAACGAAGTACCTTTAAAAATTAAGTACAACTGGTTTAGTAAAGTAAGCTTTTGAAGGCTACTGTTTTTAGTATTCTTATTTTTTATGGGTTTTTATCATTTATTCTCTCAGCACACGGAATCTTATTTCAGTAACCAGCGATACTGTCTTTCTGTTTTGGCTGGTAGGTTTGTGACTGCTGCCTCACTAATAAATCTACCCCTATCCTTGTTCTATCAGCAGCTTCAGTGCAGTTTTATTTCTGCATCCAGGAGGCCACAGCTTCTCTGGGGACTGCTGTAGTTAGTCACTAGGCAGTCCTCTGGGATGATGGTCAATGGAGCTACTGCTTAACAGTTCAGAAACAGGCTGATCAGTAATCTGACCAGTGTGTGATATGCTTCCAGATCAGCTGCTGGGCAAGGCAGCAGCTTAATTTTGAACGTCTCTTTATCTTGGGACCTGTAATTCAGCTGGTTTATGTTGATGTTTAGCCTATAGCCTCATTTATCCCATGCAGATTGGCTGTCTCTCCCCACCTCGAAGCAAAGACTTCATAGCAGAGGCTGTACCAACTGGCCCGTTACCAATGCTTGATTATTTTTACCAAGCTTACAGTTGAATGCTTACAGGCATGTTATGAAGCATTCTCATAAATGATTCAAACACGTGTAATTGGTGAAAGATATAAACAAAGTATGGTTTGCGAGGCAGTGTTTTTACTTGCTAATTTGCAGAACTGGTGGTAGAACCTCTCGGTGGTATTTTCTCATGAAGAAGCCAACAAGGCTAATTGCAACCAGAGGATGAGGGAATCTCAAGGATTTTTTTAACAGCAGGAAGGCAGAGATGGCATGGATGCTTGTCCCTTAGCTCCCATGGAGGATGCAGCGACTGCGCTCCAGCAGCCCTGGCCGTGCAGCGAGCACAGGAGTTATCTCCGGTGCCTGAGTGCCGTGCCTTGCAACAAAACAGTGCTGAGATGAAACAGAGAAAGCTTTCACATGCGTTGTGGTTTCAGCTGATTAAAAAGAGCAAGGCTGGAAGGGGGTGGATATTGCTGTTTGTCTCATCTCTCCTCCCTCTGGCAATTTCTTTCTGTAACCGCAATTTAAAAAGAGCGTTCAAATGTAGAATAGATTTAAGGATTAATGTTTTGAAGAAAGACTTTTTTTTTTTTCCTGAGGTAGTTTATTTTATTTTTGGTTGTTTTGTACGCTGTCAGGAATGTGAAAAGTAGTATTTAGAATCAAAAGCAAATAGGAATTATCCTTGCGAATGAGAGATTTTAAATCTTTCTAAAATTAAAACAAGAAAAAACTTTCCTTAGTAGCTCCTTTATCCACAGCTGAGGAGGATACAAAAATGTGGGTGTTGATGTGAGGGAGAAAATTGCATATTTACCAGGTTTAGTTTTAGTTTTTGGGTGTTTTTTTTCCCCTTTGAAGCTTGGGCTAAGCTGTCACGGCGGATTACAGGAAGTTTTATTTCGCTGAGATTTTTTTTATGATGTGTTTTTCGCGTGAAGGGAGGGGTGGTGGTGCCTTTTCTTATTATTAGTTTAATATTTTTTTTTTATTTGAGCTGTCGCATTTCCAGATTTATTGTCTTTATTGTTCTTGCTGATTCCAAACGCAGGGTGACTTGAATCATTTGTCTCGTCTTTCCTTCCTGCCTTTGTGTAGACTTCTTGGCTGTACAGCAGGGCACTGAGTACTTTTATTTTTCTCTCCTCCCCCACCCCCAACTGATTTATTTTTCAGATGTCGGACACTCTCAGGATCACCCAGACCAAAGAACTTTAAGAAGGTTCATTTTATCAAGAACATGCGGCAGCATGATACCAGAAACGGCAGGTACTGTGCATCCAAAGGCTGCTTCTGCAGAGGTGTTCCATGGGGTGCGGGGGAAAGGGCAGAGTCAGCATCCCCCTGCAAGAGCAAAGCGTGCCATTGCCACTTACCATGTACCACATACGTGGTAATGGCCTCTAAAATAGTCTGTGGAGGTGCAGGCTGCAATGCCCGCTCCTTCCTCGGGTGACGTATGAGTCAGTGGAAGTGCTAGCCCATGGGTTTTTGAGACCTGTGTCTCCATCATAGTAATAACTCGAATAAAATGAAAATCAGTCAGTAAACTAGGCACAATCTGGTGGCATTTCTTTGAGGGCAGTGCCAGGTGCGAAGCATGAGAGGGGCACATGGATGAACCTGCCTGGAACGAGTCTAGCAACGGCTGAATGACTTTCCGACATCTATTAGTGGGTGTAAGGGTAGGCGTCAAGCTAGCTGGGTTGTCAGGGCTCCAGTGATGGGAGGCTTACCGGACAAGGGACTCAAGAAAACAGCTTCAGGGAAAGGTATTAAGATTATCCTGAGTCTTACAGGATAAATGATAAAAGTGACGGATCCCAGTCACATTGTTGTGTCCTCCCAGATGCAAAGTGCAGGTTGGTGAACATGCAGCTGGAGATGGTTGTGGCAAGGCAGGGAGTGGGATCCTTGTTTTCAAGGGAGATGCAGGTAGAGGGGTTCCCGGGGGTTGTGTGAGGAGTGCAGCTGCAACCACACACACTGCCCGAATTGCAGCCATAGGCACCAGTGGGACCTATACAGCAAGGACTTCCATTACTGCAAAGGCACGGTGCCTGTCGTCATGTTCCCATCAGCAAAATAGGTCCTTTATTGCAATATCATCCAGCTCAGAAGTGAAACTGGTTCCTCCCTGCTTACAAAGAAGACACCTGCCCTCTCTGTTTTTTACCCGAGACAATTTCCTCATGTGCCTCGTGATGTTATTCTTGTCTTTCCAAACTTGAATAGGTTTTAAATAGACTACCTGAACAGGCTGCATGTAGACTAAACCATCCCACTGAGAGTTGACCCTCGCACATACTTGTTCTCATACAACTGCTATGAGCAAGAACCAAATATATTCTTGTGGACCGATTTGTGCACGTAGCCATTGGTTTCCATCAAACGTGGAACCAGGTTGATAGAAATTCTGACATTACATTGAACCACAGGTTTTATGAATTGAATTCTGATAGGTGTTACTTGGCTCGAGCAAAATTTTACTCGCGTTTATTCTCACGTGTACAATTAAATGAAGTGAAAGGTAGTAATCCACATAAATATTGCAGAAGGTGGTTCTGAGAGACGACGGCTTTTTAGAAGCAGCTTTTGTAGCAAACTGATGCATGCAGAACTGTTGACTTATCTATTGTCTGACTAGCAGCTGATTATTCTCTTTACAACAAATACATGTGGAATCAAATGCTGAAGAGCAGCCCTCTAATTTTAGTCTGTATTGTACATAAAATATGTACATTCTGGGAATTTCTTGTAGTGAAAAATACTTATTCATAAAGTATTATGCAAATTCCACAGAGAATTGAGTAATTTCTGTAATGCATGTATAAAATACATGCATGAACTTGATAGAACTACCTGTGAAAAAATGAATAAATATTTGATTCATGAACTCTTCTCTCCAACTGTTGCAAAAAAGTATTTTTAGGATGTATGTTAGCATTTTGTCTTAGTTTATATATCAGTCATATTATGTCTGATAATATAAATGAATATTTTTCTTGCTAACAAAACAGTAAGCTTCTGTTATTCAACTGGCTTCTTATCTTTATCAGCAGACATAGTTTTCTAGAATATTTCCATAATCATAATGAAGATCCTTTATCTAGAACACAGATAAAATAAGAATAGCATACATAGTTTTGTGAATGCTTTTTGTCCTATGGATAAAGAGCCACAGCGATATTAGCTAAAAATAAAATGCAAAGTCAACACTTTGTGTCACCCCAAAGGCCAGCTAAGTCTAGCAGTAAGTAATCTGAGCATGTACCCTGTTTTTCCGAGGGGGTCGGGATGCTGTTACAGTAACTGAAGTTAATAGGCATTCTGGATGAAAAAGACCTCTGGAAATTCAGGTGGATCTGCTTTATGTGTTCATCATAAAATCAACAGAGTTTATGAGTACCTTAAGACCTTTAAAGCTCATGTCCTCCCCGGTTCCCTGTGACATGGAGGAGCACAGGTATTGTAATGGATAGAAGACCCTCCTGAGGCTCCTTCCTGTGCCTGGGACGAGGTGCGTGGTTGTGCAGGACGCAGGCACTGAGCCAGGCTGGAGTCAGGCTCTCTGAGCTCTCTCCAAAACCCCTGATCTTTCTGCCGCAGCATGTCAGCCTTTTGTTTCACTTAAGGAAGCCAGCTTTGAAAACAGCTACACAGAATATATTTTTGAGCAGTGAATTTGATAGCTGGGCTTTAAAATAGCCAACTCTTTCAGGAACTGTTTCACTGGCTTGTGACTGTGAGTGTGACAGCAAAGAAAACTGCAGTGTGGGTGATGGCTCAGGGCTTGTTTCTCTGCTAACTGCCCGTATTTGTGGCTCTCAACCTGTGAAGTGACATGTCCTTGTCCTGGAGCACTGGGAGCTCTTCCCTTCTCAGCTCTGGGGATAGCACGTGCTGAGCGATGATGCTCTGGGTCCAGCCTCCGGCAGTCCAGTGGCAAGGCAGGGCCAGCTGTGGGTAAAATAAGAGTTCAGCTGTTTCGGCACAGAGAAAAACCACCTATATGCAGATGGCAGCTTATCAGCCAGTCCTTGTAAAAGCTTCCTGTTGATGGTTCTGTGCACTGGTCAAACCGGTTTCTTCAGATTTGTAGGACGTGGCTTATTAAAGGAGCTGGAAAATTAGGTTTACTAAACTGTGTTATCAAAGCAGTCTTGTAAAATAACACAAAATAAATTTTCCCGTTAAAAGACAAAGACTAGTCAACCCTAAACATACAAATTAGCACAGGTAGCCACCAGTGTGTGGTTTCACCCACTTTACTGAGCATATTGGTAGTATCTTCCATAAACTGTGAAGCAGAAGATTTCCTATCTAGCAGAAACAAGCTGCAGAAACAGACCACCGAAACAGCAACCTGAGCCAACTGAACAAATAGTTTATGGTGAGAATGGGACAAGAACATTTCTAGAGTCATCCTATATGGCAGATATAAAAGCAGTAAAACATTGCTCCTCTCCCAATGCCTATGCTATCGCTTTCTCAATTTTTTTGTTAGTATACATACAGTTCCATGCCAAGGCCAAACAGCATCCGTAGCATCTGAAAAGTCTGGTTTGCTGCCTTTTTAATTGTGGAAACACAAGTGCGTGCTCTTTAAGAGGCCGACTATTTGCAGTGTCCTCACTGTTCGTTATTACTCACGGTCACCTTCCAACAGCCCCAGCTTGAGCTTGGGAGACTCCAAAAGGATGACTGCCATGCACGTAGCATCCATGGCGTGTGTGTTCACCTTTGTGTGCAGGGCAGCAAAGCCCTTATAGTCAAACATCATTGATCAGGTGTGAGGAAAGAGATATGGTATTCTGCGTGTATACGGAACGTATGATGTATATCCTATTGCCTGATTGCAGCCTTTTGGTGCAACGCAGTCAGACAAACAGACACTAAAGTCTAGACAGTCTAAAGAAAAGACAGACACTAAAGTCTAGACAGACACTGAAGAAAACCTTCTTCTTCTTCCAGTCAAGCAAATTATTGATTCTGTTGAGAGCCTTGTGCTCAGTAAGTTTTTGTCGTTTCATAGCATACACCTCATTAAGGAAGATGGTAGATTAGCTTTTACAGTCTCAGACAGTTGAACGTTGTCAGAGCTCTCTTGCAAAATAATGGTTGTTCTGAACCGTAGTAATTAGTACAACTTCGTGGAGAAATGTGAGAATTAGAGAGTGAATACCTTTTCGTGAGGTAATTTTAAACATATCTAGGTGGCACAATGGCAATTGAGGCACGTAAACACACTCTGACTAAAGCTGCTTCTGATGTCGGAGGTAGCTCATTCAGAGCTGCACAGGATTGTAGACGCCTTTGTTGAAGAGTTGAAATCCAGGAAAATGCTTTTCTCTCCTAAACAGTAATTCAATTTTCTTGAGCAGCAACAGGCTTCCAACACACCTTCTTCTCCAAAGCATGTTTTGTGACAATTCCTGGACTTTGGGCTCCAGCAAACCATTGCTGACCCTCAGAATATTTTTATTTTCCATGCATATCATCAGACCTCTAAGTAAAATGCCGTTTTATCCCTCCATGACGAGCTTCTGACTGCCGCCTTCCCTGCTTCCCCAGGGAAGTAGTCCAGCTCCTAAGGCTGTTTTGCACCAGCTCCCTCCAGCAGCTCTGCAGATGAGGTTTTGTGGCATCCTGGCAGTGGAGGCCATGGGCTCCTCTCCTGCTCTGTCTGGGAGATCTTTATGTAAAGAGTATCCCCTGGTTTATGGAAAGAGAGGCAATACTTGAGTCCCAAGGGAGAGAAATCGGAAAAAAACTAGAGGCCGGGCTGGTGCTTTTCATTTTCTTTCTGGTCAGATTCCTTCTAATGCACGCAGCAAGTTTTTTGTGGTAACTTCCCACTGTTGTATCTGCTTGTGGACATGGAAGCACTAGGGTTTTTTACTTTTAAGTATGAAGAGTTGTTGTTTTTTTTATTTAGGGAGGTGTAGGGCGTTGGTGGAAGAACTGTATTTCCAGAAGAAGCCAGAGGGAGTGGGGGGAATATGCTTAGTGGATACCGTGGTTTTCCGAATTCAAAGATACTTTCTGATGTCAGCCTTGAAATCTGTGCCAAGTTTCTTACATCAGCAAACAAGGCTTCCAGTGAACAAGCAAGCTGTTGTGAGTAGCAACCATTCGGCAATAAGCAGTGGCAAGCACAAAATTAATCTTATGCCAGGTTTTTTTTGCTTGTGAACTGCCTTTCTCAAATGTGAAAAATTACTTCCCCTCTGCTTTATAACTTAGTGATGCACCATGAGACCATCTTACAGGATCCGAGGTGTTTACCATCGGTAAGGGGTATTGTAGCATTCAGACAAACAATGAGATCATACTTCAGCTGCTGCAGGAGAACTTCTTAATGCTATATGCATGTTTATTATTATTAGAAACCCTCCTTTATTAAAGAGTAAATACCACTTTGCTTTTAAACATACTTTTAAGGAAGAAAATAGGATTGCTCTAACAGAATGATCCAGGAGAAAAAAAATTGATCATTCTGCATTTTACCAAACATGACCTGCAGCAGCTCTCTTGGGGGATCTAAACCCTTTCCAAGAATAATGACTAAGCTGGTCCCTTAAGGAAATAGTGTTTTAATAACAGTGTAACTGGTATGAGATTTATAAGCGGTTTTCGGACAGAAAAGGACAAAATAGCTTTCTGTGGTTTCTTTCCAATTTTGTCCAGTGTAGGACAAAGAATGAAAAATTGCGGTGAAATCCTCACATACAGATCTGTAGCACATAATGTCAGAAAAATCAACGTTGAAGAGCAGAGCAAGGAAGTGCAATAGTCCTGACAACCAGCCTGGCAGTAGGTCCTAGCATTTGGGCCGCAAGTGGAGATTTTTAGACAGGTAAAATGTCAGTAGATTCTAACAGTAATCAGGTTAGAAGATGGCACAAATTGCCGTCACTGTGTCTTAGAGGAATTTGAGGGGACGCAGCCTGTTGTCCAACTTAGAGGGAAGAAAAGGGTCTTTCCAGTTTCCATTGTACAATTGTTGTTGTCCTAGAGGTAATAGGGAAGGAGGGTATATTTATAAACAGTCGGTTATTTATTGGCATTTTATATCTTACAACTTAATCAAGCTTCTCTTGGCTTCTTGCCAATCTGCATCTCCCAAAACTTTAATTATGTAGCTGTTGGCGGTCCACGCAGTTTTATGGAAAGTGGGTCTTGACTTCAAGGTGGTTTCGATGTTGATTAATGGTATGTCAGAGCTTGATGGCTAAAGGTAATAATGTGGCTGTAAAACAGATAGGTAGCTCGAAGGTATTTGATTTAATGCCACACAGTGACTTTGCAGATTTGGAGACTGGTTAAAAATACAAGGCGTTTGCTGTAAGAGTGGCCTGGATTCTGAGATAAGCTCTGTGCAGGCAGATAATGTATGCTTTCATGTAGTCAAATCTTGAGCTGCCTGCCTATAAGGAATGAATGCAAGCCGTGCTTACAGGAGGAGGGATTCAGCCCTGACAGTTAGTGACTGAGATAGATGTGGTGCTGGAGGAGAAGGAGCGATGAGCCGTGGGATCCGTCAATGCCTGAGTGTCAATGCAAGATCATAACCAAGAGGGCTGATGTGATTACTGACCGCAGAGGCTGGTGGGTCGTCAGGGCTAGACGCTGATCTTTAAGGTAAGGCTGAAAGATGCGATGTTTATATTTCCACCTGTGCAGCTGCTGAGGCCGGCGATGCTGCCCAGAGACCAAGAAGGATGATGGGGAAAAACTGGAGAAAACTGAAGGAGGAACCTGGAAAGCAGTGAAAGGATCTGAAAGCTTATGATAATAGCAAACTTAGACTTCATCCATGAATCAAGCTATTTTAGGAACAGGAAGATGAAAATCAAGGGAGTCCTTTGGTTTAGCAGAGAAAGGTCATGACCAGCAGCTGGAGGTTTTTGTCTGATAAATGCAAATTATATTTGTCTGATAAATGCAGACTCCAAGTCAGCCACAGAGGTGTGGTGTGCATCACAGGGGGTTGTTGGCGTGTACCCCTGCGTTGCTATTGGATTTGTCTGTTTAGTTTCAGGTATAGTAGTGAGTTGTCAGAAGCACTCCTTGGCTCTCCGGGTGGACTCTCTCTCACCAGGACTTTTAGGAAAAACCTCTGTCCTGGATTCCAAGTAAAATGTATTCAATACAGTCCTCCTAGAAAGCCTGTAGAGGAGTTGGGGCTCCAGTACTTGTTTGCTGTGTAATGTACGGTGCAGGTTTCAGCACTTCTGTAAAGACTCGGTAGCACAATACCCTACCCGTGAGATAAAAAAGAGAAGGGAGAAATCATCCATGATGGAAGGTTTATGATTACGAATTCCTCAACATCTGTTGCTTTGCTTATTGTGGTGAGATTTTAAAATTTTAGTCTTTGATTTCTTTTATTTTCTTTTATATTTTAGAATAGTCCTTATCAGCAGCAGAAGATCCTTCTGTAGCATATTTTCAGTGCTGCCATATCGAGACTGTACCCAAGTCGGGTATGTATATTTATACATGTACTACATAGTCTTTTTAGGCCTGCATGTAGACCTGATAACGGACAACAGCATGACAGATGCTAATGCTTTTACATATCTGCTCTGAGAAGAGAGAAATGCGCTTAGCAATTTTTGCCTTATGGAACATTACCAGGTTAAAACTACAGCTCTCAGCTTATTTATATGTGTTGTGGTATCTTTGATTATTAAACCAGAGAAAACTACCCCCCTGAAATCAATGTTATTGAAAAATGCACTGTTTTTACTGTTTCTTCTGACTGTAACTCATCTTTGACATAGCGAGTACTCTAGACAGCACAACTTTTATAATCAGTCTTAGCTTTCTCGTTCTCCCACGCAAAGGAGGTGCTACTCTATCTAGGTTTCCAGAACTGTAGGGTAATAACTGGATTTAAACATAATGCCTCTTTATTGTACATTTAGCCGTTGGTCAGATCATTCAGTCAGTGAAAACATATTATTTTGACCGTAACACCATACAGGTTCTTAGCTGGTGTTAAGCAATGTGCATGAAGCTGCCTTGCATCCCTCGGCATGCTGCGCCACAAGACCTCTCATAGAAAAGCTTATTCGGATTGAAGCAGTTCTCCAAAGACTGGGAAAGCTTTTTGCTCTTCCACTGAAACTGCAGAAGTGGAAGAAACTGGATTTGACTGGGAGACGCTGCCTGGCAGGCTCTGAGGCACGGCTTACTGGGTGCCTTCGGAGGCACAGCTCAAGGCTGGGAAGGGCAGTGCTGGTCGGCACAGCTCCGTGCCCCTGGCCCAGAGGAGTAGAGCCTGGCCACCATAGCAGCTCGCTGGAGAGCTGAGAGTTGCCTGTAGTTGGGGTCGGCTCATTGCCTTCAGGGCACAAAATTTGGGGGAAATAGTCAGTTGATACGCTGAGGTGGGTTTGAAAGACCTATAATAAGTCATCTAGAGTCAAATTTATCCAGTGCACAAAGGATGAATTTGGCTCGTATTTTTCAGCTATCCGTTTAATTCTGGAGAATGATTTGCCACAAGCTGCTTGTGCATCATTAATTCAAAACAAAGGAGGATTATTTTTAATACACAAAGAAAAGGAGGCACCTTTGTAGGAGAGTTGACTCGCTCTGCTGTCTCTTACAGTAAATTTTTTTCCGTAATTTATCTGGGATGACGTATCAGGCAAATTCTTGGCAGGCTGGCAGGTTTGTGCGTTCTTGGGTACGCTGTCATTCATTTATGGTCATTGCCCTGTGGTAATTGCCTCTTTATTAAAAATAGAATATATTTTGAAATGCTGATGACTGGTTATACCTTCTAAATTACAGCAATAATGAGCCCAGCTGCAAACCTAAATATTATTTCAGAATGTGATGTCTTGTGTCGTGCAAGAAGGGCATGGAGAAGGTAGCAAGTGCCAGTACAAAACAATCCAGCCCTGTTCCTTTTGCTAAAAAGCCAAGATACAAAAAAATTCCCTCTGTCTTTCTTCCAGAGCGTCAGAGGAAGAGCGAAACAATTCAATGGCACCTCCTTCCAGGAACAGCTGGTGCAAAGAACAGATGAGGCAGTATAGCATAAACTGTAGCCACTCTGTTCAGACTGCACAGTGCTTACTTGCTTCATTGCATATTTTGGATGTGTGGTAGGAAGAGGGGAGAGACACTGGTATACCCTGTTGAAGTACTGTAGTGACAGCATCTTTTAGCTTTGCGTTCTCTGAATCTCTGGATTGCTGATGTCTGTCCCCAGGCAAGATGACCTAACTGGTTTATGTTCTGCAAACACTACTGAATAGCTAAGGAAAAGAAACAAGTTGTTGCAGGGAACCTTGGGCACATCTGCAATGAGACTGGAGGAAGCCCTGGCAGGAGGGGAGGAGTGGGGTGGACGTGCGTGCAGGGGGGACTATTCTGTGTGAGAGGAGCACATGGTGGAGCTGCTGCTGCTTCTCCACCTCTGCTCCGACTCGTCGGCACTGCGGCCAGCGAGGAAATCTCCAGGCACAGCTGTGTTTTGGGGAGGCTGCCAGCCCCTGTCATGTTGTAGGCAGCACAGAAGAGCTCCACTGTATCGATGCTGGCAGCGAAAACTGGGCTGACAGAACCACTTCAAAAACCGATCTCAAAGGCAATTCCTGCAGACACAGCTTGGCCAGGGTGGATGGGGCAGCATCGCCCCGTACCAACAAGGTGCCAGCAACATACTGTAGGCTGTGGCCCTCCCTTGCTCACCTTCCATACTGAGGTCAAGCTACAACAGCAAGAACCCTCTTCAAGCCCTCAAACTGTGTTTTTAAGTGGTTGTATAAATACCAATGGAATTCTGGAGAGAGCAAGAGCCATGGAAGAGGCTCTCTTCCATGAGAGGATGAAATTTGAGCTGTCCCCTGGAATATCTTTCCCAAATCCCCCTTCCTGGCAGCCGGATGGCTGCCAGCTCATCGAAGCGCAGCTGGCAGCAGGCTTTGGAAGGGAAATGTACTCCAGAGTGGCACAGAGGCTGCTGGTGATGAATGGTGGTTTTTGCTACCTGTGGTTTCAGAAGGCCCCTCTGGCGTTACCTGCTGGGGCTGAGAAGGAAGGACACCGTGTGCTGGGGGAATTACTTTCTCTCGTTTTCTCTGTTAGACTGAAGAGAAGTGAAAAGTACAAAGCAAAGAGTGACATCATGGGGAGAAAAAAGTAATGAACAGAAGTAATCACTAGAATTTTCTGTCTTCAAAATTGTGTCCGTAGCTTGTATCAAAGGAAACCTAATGCTTTTGCTTATAGTGCTTTTGTGCAAGGGAGGAGAGGGGGATTAAAACCTAAATTCACAAGAGTTTTGAGATGCATTATCTCTGGCTGGAGTCACTGAGAGGCAGGTACTTGTGGATCTGGTCTGTAATTTCCCCTCTCCAGGTCTGGTTACATTGAGATTGCTGGCATCTTTGCTGGTGGCGTGATGACATGCATAGCTTAGAATCATAGCATGGTTAGATTGGAAGGGACCTCAAAGGTCATCTAGTTCCAACCGCCTGCCATGGGCAGGGACACCTTCCACTAGATTGGGTTGCTCAAAGCCTCATCCAACCTGGCCTTGAATGCTTCCAGGGATGGGGCATCCACAACTTCTCTGGGCAACCTGTTCCAGTGCCTTACCACCCTGAAGAATTTCTTCCTTATATCTAATCTAAATCTACCCTCTTTCAGTCTAAAGCCATTGCCCCTTGTCCTATCACTCCATACCCTTGTAAAAAGTCCCTCCCCAGCTTTCTTGTAGGCCCCCTTTTAGGTACTGGGAGGCTGCTATAAGATCTCCTCTGAACTTTCTCTTCTCTGAGCTAAGTTCTTCTCCAGCTTTACCTGTTTCCATGGCCAGGAGTAGGGTAAGAAGCAGGACCAGAGCTTGCTTTCCTTCCCCCACCTCGAGCAGCAGAGCAGCTGTGAGAGCAGACATAGCCAGGTGAAAGCAATGTAAGGAAGGCTGTACTGCAAGTCAGGAGCTGAAAGTAGGTGCTGAGCATCTTGCCAGCCGGCTTCCCTTGGCCCCCAGCATCCTGCAGTGTTACAGCCCCAAGTCATCAGACCCTACGTAGGCTTTAGTGATGGCCAAGGGCAGTGATGAGAGGGTTGCCCTGTACTGAGAGCACTGTAACAGTGGTATTGCTTCCCTTATTAAATTAACAGACACACACACATAAACTCTCGTTATCGTTAGAGGCCGACCTGCAGAGGCAGGTGGCACCTGCAGAGTGGAATGACACTGGTAATGTTGCCTGAATGCGTGGCTTTGATTATGTTTTTGTGAAATACAAAGTAGTTGTGTGATGCACAAGTTAGAGATGAGGCAGTTCTGCTGGTGGTACTGCACATCGGTTGTGCAGTTGCTACTCTTTATCTATATACTGGAAATCTTCATGGCGAAAGGATATTCGTGATCTGAATATTTCTGCTGAACAGAATCTTGCTCGCCTGTGAAGTGTGCATGCAATTACCACACAGAGATTTTGTAGTAACATTTAGAAACAAAACACATGCATGAGGAGATGCAGCAGTGACCACTGAACCTTTTTTACCATCGTGGAGAGGTACTTGTGCTTTATAAAAAATTGTTTCTCTTGTCCTTTCTCACCATTCACTGGTGGTATACTATGGATTCTGTTGACACTACAGTGTTCTTTAATAATACTTAGAAATTTGAACCATCGTATGTAATGTTATGCTAATGCTATTCTTCAAGTTCTTCTGTGTTATTTAGATATAATAGATGGAAGAGCTACATTGTGAAGGGTATTGAAACCGAATTTCTGGCTCAGCGTACACTTTATATCTTCCTTGCAGGAGATGAGAATTGATCCCCATCTAGTTCTGCAGATGGGCAGAAACTGGGAGGTGATGCCAGGTCTCAGAGTTGCGCCTTGTGCAAGCCCTGGGCTGCTGCGTCACACACCACCTTTGTCAGAGGTTGTCACGGTGGAAGCGCACTGCAAGTGGAGTTGAGCCTGGTGCTGTTCCTCTTCCAGGACAGGAGGAGATGCCTCAGGTCACTAGCAAATAGCCACCCCACCACACACCTGCTCAGCACAGCCGCATACACACACACACACGCCAACCTGCTCTGGGCCCTCAGAGAGGATTCGTGTCATGGCAGACCAAAGAGTGGAGCCTCTTGCAGATGGATCAAACAAGACTTGAAGGAATTATTCATTTGGAGATGGGCTCCAAGTGGTTTGAGATGAATTGGATTTCAGCCCTTTGAGCTAGGGATCAGACACTGCAGATACTAGCGATTTAGCCCTTAGGCAGGTTGTGCTCTGGGTGCTGGGGTCATTGCATGTCTCCCCAAAGAGGAGTTGTTACGACCAGGCTCTTCCTTGCAAACAGCACATGGATCATGCCTGCAGGGTTCTGCCCACCCTGCTCACCAGCACAGTCAGTATAATGGTGCTCTGCAGACCCTCCACGTGGCTCCAGCTGGGATGGAGAAGGACCAGGTTCAGCTCTGCTTCCAGGTAGCTACCCTGGA